GAACCGGCAGAGGACACAGTGTGTCTAGAGAGAAAAAGGGGAGAAAGAAACCTATACAAAGATAACCAAAAAACAGAGACTCCAACAGGAGGCTACAGTTTTGGGTTCCTGATGTAAAACTGGTTCATTTAAAATTTCCAGAATTAAAGTTGAAGGAGAACACCCTATCTATCTCTTCTCAAATCATTTTGTTTACGGCTACGATGTCCTTTTGTCTCTAAATGGTGAACTGGTGGCTAGAGCAGTGTGTTGAGAGGAGTTCCCAGCCTCAGTGGGAAGGGTGCTGGAATCCATTAAAGCTGGGATCGGCTAATGCTGTCTGCCACAAGGTGCGGGTGCGGGGGTTGGAGGGGTGGTGGGGTAGTTGTGATGGGAGTCATCTACTGGTGTCATCCTTGCTAACATCCCAAGCCTCTCATTTAATTGTGGGGTGGGTGGGAGGGAGAGGTTCAGAGACATTAATCCAGTTGCCAAAAGCCACATAGCTATTTAGTATTTCACCAATTTATTTAAAAAAAAAAAAGTTTCAGCATTAGAGAAAGAATGAAGATTAACAGAATTAACTAGCCTGAAGACGAAAAACTATTTTTCTCCAAGGAATTTAGGACTGAAAATAAACCTTCCTGAAGCCTCTTGTTAGATACTTCATCAAAATTGCCAGGAGCTCTGCTTGGTCCTCTCCAGAGCCAAACAGGCACAGAAGACTGGGGCCCTTCTCGCCAATTTCAGGGGAGATGAGAAATCTGTAATGTTAGAGGCTCGTTCTTCCGGGAGAAGATTTTTCTTAGTCCTTGGATGAAGGGATAAATAAGTATGAAGAAATTTTAAAGCATTATTTGTTTAGGCATTTGAATTAATGGACATTTGAATTTAATTTTAGAATCTTTTAAATGACAGTTCACTTCATGTTATTTTTAAAAAGTTCTTTTTATAGTATATTGAAAAAAAAAGTCCAAGATGGGATTTGGACAGGGTTTTAACTAATCATGGTAGCAGGCAAGAGTATCAGTTCCAGAATAAATAGCATATTGTAGCCAATCCAAGTAAAAGGCTTAAGTGCTTCATCAGAGCCAAGCTGTGATGACATGCTTTGAGGGAATTCTAGCCCCCAAACCTCTCCCCTCCTTGCCTGAGAATTTACTATTAAACATTCAGAAGTTATTTTTGAAAATACTAACATTCTCAGGTGATATACCATTTCGAGTTCATTGTTAGTCAATAGCAAAGAAAGAAGGAAGAGCTAGAGTGGTGAGGTGAAGGGATTGGTTAATAGTTGTGGAAGAAGAGAAAGAAATGAGAGAAATATTGGTCCTCAGAGAGTAGCTACAGGAGTTTTGCAGCCCAAAGATGGAGTTTACTCTCTCAAGATTCCTCCTGACTCCAGGATGTTCAACCGATCTTAGGCCTTATACATCAGAAGACACAATCACGGACATTAAGAAGCTGATGAAAACCAGCCTCAGAAATAAACCCTCCAGATGCCTTTGGAAAATAGAAAAGGGAAAAGAAAAACAATGTAGGAAAGTGTAGGAGTACCTTCTCTCCAATATTTCTGAGAGAAAATGGGAGTTGAAAACCTCAAACAAAATGTCGCCCCAATCTCACTTGGCTAATTTTAGTTATCTTAGTTCATGGCTATGATTCATCCTTAAACCTGTGAATTGCTGAGGAGGAAGGAGGAAAAAAATTGACTTAAATGTCAAAGAAGTAGGAACAAAAATACAGTTTTCTTTTTTGGGGAACTAGAATTCCAGGATATGGGGATCTTTTTTCTCATGAGAGACAGAGTGCTTCAATCTTCTAGAAAAATACTGATCTCCAGTCAAAACATCATCAAGGAATAAAAGACTGCATTGATTATGAGTCGTGTCATATATGAATTTTTGCCTCCATAGTATATTTCCCTTTTCTCTTTGTGTACCTCCTTAAATACCATTAAACTAGTAATCACTAATAATCCTATGTCGTAGAGGAGGATGGAAGCTTCATGTAGACTGTAATGAGAAATGGAAGTCCTAAAGCAGGGGAGGGAGAAATGAATGGAGACAAAGCGAACTATGAGAAATAAGTCTGGGGAATGGGATGGTAGCACAGAGAGGAAAGGCATGTTTGAACAATGGTCAGATGTTGTCTTGCCTGCTAAAAAATAGAGGGCAATGGAGATGGTTTGGTGAAATTCCATCCTGAGTAAAGACAATGTTTTTCAATTTACTAGGGGTCTCCTAGTAAATAGACTACCACTTTGAATTTCCATACGTTTGGGGGAAGAAAATAGCAGTAGTCACTAACTCAACTCAACTCATCTCAATGACTGATTTTACTGTCTGACGTAAACCTCTCTACCATCAGCTTAGCCACTTTCTGTGCATTTGCCTCTTTCTGCTCTTAAAACTTCTGAGCAGTCACAGAAATAGATGATGGTTGTAAAAATAGGGTCCAGGGCATTAAGGGAAGATAGTATTTTATAGAAGGCAAATGAAAGAGTTCCCATGACTTCAGAGCAGATTTCTCACAGTCCTGAAGCTATGACAACAGCAGCCCCAAGGCACAACTGTGAATGTAGATTTCTGCACTCACCCTGTCCTCAGCCTCCTCAGACACTCTCCTCGTCTCCTTAGGGCTCTTCATTTCTGTTCTGATCCCTGAGGATGTGAGCAGCAGCAATCTCTCTATCTCATCATCCAAGACCCAAAGCGTCATTCAGCTGATGTACAATTGCATCCTGACGGATAAACTAACAGGATACTAAGGAGGTGAGAGGGGCTCTGCATGTTGCAGAATCATACCACTTGGTTTACTATGAGAAAAATGATATCTTGAAGGTTCAAGTGACTTTCTTGCCCAAAGCATTCCCTCTTTTGCATCTCTTGGAAGATATCAATTAATGCCATGACTACCTACTATTGTCTTTAGTAGAGAGATATTTTAAAATCCACAGAAGATAGCTGCCAAAAGGGTCCTTGGCCACCCTCATTTCATACCACCTTGGCCCTTTATTACATATCCAGTTATTACATTGCCTTTGTGACACATCCAGTTCTTTCCAGACTAGGTATATTTAATTTTCTGAGCCTCTGTGAGGTGTGCTGAAGTGCAATGAAGACCTATTTCTATTTTTCATTTCCATGATCAACTTTTACCTTGTTTTGTGTCCCCCACATAGATATGTTGAAGTCCTAACTTCAGTACCTGTGAGCATGACCTTATTTGCAAATAGTGTCCTTGCAGATTTAATTAAGCTAAGATGAGGCCACTAGGGAGGGTCCTAATCCAGTATGACTGGGATCCTAAGAAGAGAACCATGTGAAGACAGAGACGGGAGAAGGCAGTGTCCTTTGTCAACAAAGGCAAAGATGGAAGTGCTGCAGCTGCAAGCAAGGCATGCCGAGGATTGCAGGCCACACCAGAAGCCAGGATATTCTCTACAGGTTTCAGAAGGAGCACGACCATGCCAACCCCTTGATTTCAGATTTCTAGCTTCCAGAATTGTGAGAGAATAAATTTCTGTTGTTTCAAGCCGCCCAGTTCATGACATTTCGTCGTGGTGGCACTAGGAAACGAATACATGCCGTTAAAGGCAAACAGGAAGGACAACTGGAAGCCGAAAGAGAGCAAGAAGAGCTTTTTATCTTGGGTTGGGTTACTAATGTCATTGGTATTAATCTTTTTTTGGAAATGATCCAGAATGGTTCCACATGACCCTTTGAAAAAAAAAAATTCATGAGGGGACTCTCCCTGTCTGCTTCTTTAAAATATAATGTTCTTTGTTATTCAAATGAATCCCCAGCATAGACTAGTCAGCTGCTTTTGCAGTGTTGTAGGCTAACAATCTAGTTTGTTTTTCTTGACCCGACTGCTTTGGTCTTTTTTGGTTTATATTTTATTTATATTTGTTAATATTTGTTAATATTTTATTTTGTAATGTGATATAAATGCATGAATAGTAATATATATTTCCTCAAAATATAGAATCAAAGGCACTTAAAATCACGAATTATCCATAATATAGTTTTCAGGTCCAAATGATGATAACATGATGATACGTTCCAAGCCTCTGATTTACCCTCTATAAAGAATGTTAAAAATTAAATCGGGCCTTGCTTAAAATAATCAATTTCAGTAGTTTCTTTTGTGATGCTGTTCTGTGTTTAGGAACAGCATAAATGAAGGTAAACACTACTCATAACCATAGTTTTCAAAATAAAAAACCATTCTTGAGGTCTTACAAATTATAATATGTATTGAGTGTCTAAATTTAAAAACATATCGAGAATCTTCACATAGCACCCTTTTTTTTTCTTTTCAGGAAGATTAGACCTGAGCTAATATCTGCTGCCAATCCTCCTTATTTTGCTGAGGAAGATAAGCCCTGAGCTAACATCCATGCCCATCTTCCTCTACTGTATATGTGGGATGCCTGCCACAGCATGGCTTAATGAGCGGTGCATAGGCCCGCACCTGGGATCCAAACTGGGGAACCCTGGGCTGCCAAAGCACAGCATACGAACTTAACTGTGACACCACCAGGCTGGCCCAGCACCCGATTTTTAAGCATAGTCACATTCTACAAACTTCTCCAAGATAATCTGTTCTATTGTGTTACTTGATTATCTGAAAAGTTCAAGGGTCTTTTAAGGAAGAGTTGCCCTGCAGATTTAGTGCTTGAACAAATGTCCAAGTGTTGGGACATATAGATCCTCTCATTGACCAGAAATCTTAATTCTTTTCAGAAGCCATTCTAGATTGTTTCAAACTCTTCTTCTTGTGGGTTGGGGTTCAGTTTACGATCTATGCAGAGTACACTTGGATGCCCATGTCTTTGAAGGCACTGGGATATGCAAGTCAGACTCAATGTAAAACTCAATAGACCATCCCATGCATCACACTGCTCCATCTGTAGGATGTTTTCTGTCCCACTTACACTAGGAATCACACACTCTGATCCTAGGTGAGATACAAGGAGCTTGGATTACCAGAATTATAGTGTTGGAAACACTTACTTGAGTGTGGTGAGTTCTGTAAGGGATGGTTGAGTAGCCTTGAGATAGCTTTCTCTTCGTGCAGCAACTTTGGGAGAAGGCTTGGGACTTGTGTCTGAGTCCCCACTGTCTTCATCTCCCATGGCCTTGATATAGCTGCCACTCCGCATTCTTCGGCATGGAATTTCATCATCTTTACCTCGAGGGGTATAGCCTGTCCATTCATCTTGGGGAACCTATTCAGATATAAAACATAATTCATTTTTAAAATAAAAATCCTACATTTTTCTTTTCTTTTCTTTTCTTTTGGTATGACCCTGGATATGGTAATACAGATAATTATCTAAAACTATAGACACTAACTTTTCAACAATAGTGTTTTACTATAATCAGTTTAAAAATATTTTAAATACATGCAAATCCATGCCTTAATCTTTAAAGATGTTATTTTTCCTTTTTCTCCAAAAACTCCCCGGTACATAGTTGTGTATTTCTAGTTGTGGGTCCTTCTAGTTGTGGCATGTGGGATGCCGCAGAAGCGGAGTGCACGAACTTAAGCACTCGGCCATGGGGCCGGCCCCCATGCCTTAATCTTTAAAATAACCTGTATGTTAGGAAAAATTAAAACCATTGGCTCTGATTGACTTATACGTCTCAGTTTTCTCAGGCTGAATTGAGTCAGGCATAAAAATGCCATTGGAAAGGAGACCAGTTTTATTTGAGCTTTTCAATTATTTGTTTTCAATTGTCATTTAAAATCCAAGAATGTTTCTACTTGATCTACACTTTTCCTGAACCTTCCATCTCTGCCATCTCATATCCAATCTCCTTCCTAAACCAGTAGTCTATACCAGCTGCATTCACTTCCCAATCACCTATTCTTTCTGAATCCTTCTTAATTTGGATTCAGCCTCTGTAGATCTGCTTATAGCACTCTTTAAAGGTTTCCAATGGTCTAGGTTTCTCATGAAATCCAGTGGCATTTTCTTAATTTTAATTTGTCTTGGCCTACACACACATACACACCACCTCTTAAGAGTTTCTCCCTTTTGGCTTTCTGGGTACTCTACTTACCTAGTATAACCAGTACTTATCTGAATCGGTCTTCTCCTCTTGCTTTGCTGGATCCTCCTCTATGTCCCTAATTGTGGTACCACACAAGATAACGTTCTCAGTACATCGCTCTTTTTTCCTTTCTACAGTCATTTCCTTTGAGTTCAGCAGGGCACTACACTAGGTGTTATGGGGCTTCTTTGACTTTCTCTTCAGTTCCTCTTAGATATTCCACTTCAACATGGACTCAACCTGGGGTCTCATTCCTCCTCCATTTGGTAAAAGAAATGCATCATGACCACTCTTTTTATCCACTAAGAAATAACAAACAGTCTACGGTGCACAGAAAGGTGCACAGGGCTTAACTAAAAGAGATAAAAAAGGGGGAGACTGGTTCTTGCCCTCAATATGCTTATAACAGAGATGAGAAGACAAAACATGAGTACATTTGGCGATAGTTCCAAATCAACATGTTAGAAAGTTTTAGATGTGGTGCCGTAAATGGAATATGCACTAACGAGACACAAGAAACAGGAGGTATCAGTAATGGTGATGGGGAAGGATCATTCAGGCAGGGCTCCCTGGGATGGGCCAGGTTTGTAATGAGAAGGTAAAAAGGTATTTAATATCTTCATGCTATTTACTGATTAGCCATTAAAAAATACAACGTTTCATTATTAACATTGGACTATGTAAGCAATTTACTTATAGGATCTTATTTCATCAACACAACAACTCCATGCATTTTTTCTGTATTTCTCAGGCAGGACAGAGAGCTTAAGAAATTTGCCAAAGAACGCATAGCTAGTAAAACAACACATAGCACTGGGAGTTAAAGCATTTTGGTTTAACTCCAAAGATTGGAATTTACTAAACTAAGTTTTATAATTAATAATATATGAATTTTAAATCTAAAGTGTTAAGAATATTGTCCACAATGACACATACACAAATAAGACATAGATTTCCACACATTATAGGTTCTCTGAAGTGAGAATAGCTATTCCACAAAAAACAGCACTCTTGTTTCCTCTTTAAATTATGAATTTATCTATATAATTTGAAAGCTTCTATCTAGAAACATTCGACCAAAGAGATGCTGCCATTCATGGACCTGAAAACAGCAGTTTGTAGGTGGAAATTTTGAAAAGTACTAATAAAGTTTGGTTAAGCTTCACTGTGCAGCTTATTTATTTTATTGAACAAATTCTTAAATCGTGCTTCCTATGTGCGGGCACTGTTCTAAATGTTGTATAAATGTTAACTCATTTGATCCACACGGTTGAGGGGTAGTTTTATTATCCCCATTTTAAAAATGAGGAAACTGAGGTTGTATAACTCGCCCAAAGTCCCAGCTATGAAGGGCAGAATTCCCACCTGGCAGCTCCTGGGGCTTTGCTGTTGACCACTATCTGATGCTGTCTCTCTTTCTAGACTATGATCTGTGGCACCTACAGAACTGAACAATTATAGTCCCACGACACCTTCGTAATCCATCACATCTGATCGGTTTGCCATTTATTAATTATGGTAGTAACAATGTAGAATTTTTACTTTTGTAGCTAAAAAGCATCAAAATCACCATAGCAACAAGAGAGATTTTTTTAGGGAAATTATAAATGTTGAGAACAGCGTTGTTTTCCTTCAATTGGCAGGTGACTCACTGCAATCATATGATCATGTTCAGGACCTTATTATTGGCTTAGCAATCACATTTTATAAATTAAGTTGGTACAGCTGAGGGTCATAGATGACACATATAACACTTGCTACTTCTCAGGACTGATGCACAGTTCATAAGCCTTGCTCTCTGGAACATGTCAGAGACTAATGACAAACTTATGAGCTCAAATCGCTTATGAAACAAAATATGCCAAATTTCTGGTTAGGTGTTTTTTTCACAGTTACTTTATGGTAGAAACTTGGGCTTGTGCTAGAAAAAGGCTGCAACTGTTGCTAAGGGAACCAGCTGGGAAGTATATAACTTGTATACATTTCAATTAAACCTGTTTTTCAAATGATAGCAGCTAAGATGTTTACAGAAGTGACCTACATTGGAATAGAATTTAAAAATTAATACATTTTTCATACACCTAAAGGCAGCCTACAACAAGATTACATATAAAATAATACTGAAATCAGTTCTTGGAAAAATGTAAAGAAACAGAAAATCAAGACCTTGGAGAAGAAAAATATTATTGCTGAACTCTAAGGGCCAGCAAAGTTGCTATCATTGAGCCACAATTTCTATTCTGAGTTTCTTAAACTCTAAAGCAAAAGGGGAGACAGTGGTTGGGTACATAGTTTTCAAAGAAAGCATACGAGTTTGTACGGACGCACAGCATGAAACGTTACTCCCATTTGATTGGAAAGTAGGAGCATCATGTGGCTGCAGCTACTATTGTGATCTAGTCAAAGGGTGCTGTGTCTTTCTGCAACAGTTGCACAGACAGAAAAGATGTAGAGAAATCCAAAGGAAAAATGAACCTTGCGGCTGCCTGAGAAGGCCTTCACTACTAGTGGTCCTGGCAGTTTAAGGGAATGGAAGTCTTGACAAGGAAGCGAAGCTGGAGCAGATAGAAGAGCAGCTCTGGCACTTGCTGATGACAGGCTAGCCAGATGTCCTGCTTGCCTGCACCAGCTTTGGGGTGGTTGGATCTCCAAAATGTTAAAGAAACAATAATAAAATCAATCTAAAAAAAGTTAGGGTTGGGGCAGGCCTGGCCGTGTCGCGGTTAAGTTCGTGTGCTCTGCTTTGGCGGCCCTGGTTCACCAGTTTGGATCCCAGGCGCAGACCTACGCACTGCTTATCAAGCCATGCTGTGGCAGACATCCCACATATAAAGTAGAGGAAGACAGGCACGGATGTTAGCTCAGGGCCAATCTTCCTCAGCAAAAAGAGGAGGATTGGCAGTGGTTGTTATCTCAGCGCTAATCTTCCTCAAAAAAAAAAAATTTAGGTTTAACAATAGTTATGGGTTGGAGAAAAAGATTATTTGCTTTTTAAGCATTTTGTTTATGTTCAAGCCTTAAAGCTCTAATGGAGAGCTTTATTTCTGATAAGACAAAATAAGGATTAATGCACACTCTTCTATTTCAGGTATAGCCAGTTTAAAACTTAAACCACATGTCATTGTTCAGAAGTAAAGAAGACCTACCTCTGACTGAGGAATGACCATAACCAAGTGCTATCATCTTCTAATTACAGGATGAGGATGTTTTCTTAATTGAAATAGTGACACAGGCGCTGAATGACAGGCCTATTCTACAGACGGCTATGGTCTATTCAGTCACAGAACAAGAGAAAATTAAACACCACCTAATGGGGCATGCTTACGTTTTCTATTGTCCCCTCCCACCTTCGTCCTTGGCTCCCTCCCTTTCTTCACTTCTGTAGGTATTTTTTTTCTTGTTTACTTTTCAGCCATGGTCTCGGTGCTGGGAACAGTACAAACATCGATCCCATTCTATGGAGCGTACATTCTAGAAGGATGGCAGGAAGAAATGGGTAACAGACAAGCACATCCATAAGTGAACAAGATGATTCCAGGAATCACAAAAGCCATTAGGAAGATAAGACGGTAATGTGACAAAGTGGCTAGGGCGAGGAGGGGGAGGTGAGTGCTGCTTTGACTCGTTCCTCAGAGAAGCCACCAGGAAGAGGTAATATCGCAGAGGAGATCTGGTGACCAAAGGAACTAGCCTTGAGGAGAGTAGGGGAAGAGCTTCCAGGCAGAAGGATCAGCCAGTGTGAAGTCTCTAGAATAAGAGTAAGCTTGGGGTAATCAAAGCCTAGGAACAAACATGGCAGCGTGGCTGGAAAGTACTGAGCAAGAGGGAAGTGATGTGAGGAGAGGCCGGGGGGCAGGGCCAGGTCACAAAGGGTCTTGTGAGCTCATCTCAGATCTTCCTTCAAGGCTGAACTTGGCTATCCCAAAGCTCCCTCCAGCTGCTCCAGCCTAAATTGATCTCCTTTATGAAATTTATAGCATGTGTCCTTTACATAAGGGGTCGGCAAACTACAGCTCACAGACAAAATCCAGCCTGCCATCTGTATTTGTAAATCAAGTTTTATTGGCACCCAGTCACGTCCATTCATTAAGTGTTATGACTATGGCTGGTTTCCAGTTACAAAGAGTTGTATAGTTGTAATGGAGATTATGTGGCCCCAAACCTGATCCAC